ATGCATTGTCTCTTACAAATTATCTGCAATTTCTTATACAACATAAAATATCTTCCAGACCTTCACTTTATTTGAAAATAGTAAGTAACCCATAGAGTTGTTGGTAATATTGAATAGTTGATTTGACCTTGTACTGTATATTATTTTTGTATTATTTTTTACTGTTTTTATTGTTTAAGCATTGTTCGCCACCCAGAGTCACCTGGTTGAGATGGGCAGCTATGGAAATTAAATAAATAAACAAATATACATAAATGCATATGCTACTCTGGCATTCGTGAGCTCAAAATGATACGTGCCATGATTGCTGATGGAGAAGATTCAGTCTACTTTTATCTGGCACAATGCTCTGTTTCCTTTTGAATGAATATATAGCATGCAAGTCATATACCACAGCATAGACTGCATTGTAGATTGGGTAACTGTGGCTAATCATGTGCATGTCAAAAATTGATGAAGGAAGGGCCTCTATCTTCTCCTCCCCAGTGCACATATCTTCATAATTCCTCTCTCCACTGGAGTTGGGGAATGAACATTGAAATGCATCTTCCCAAAAATCCTTGAGAAAGCCATCTTCTGTATCGGAGGCTGGATTCCTTTTCCTAACAAAATCCTGAAATCCTGCCAAGTCTCTTAAGTGAACCACAATGGATAGAGGACCATGAATGAAGTGTAAAGGCCAGTTCCTTTGAAGAGAAGTTGAAGTGAAATCCATCTGGGCTATCATAATCCAGACTTTCCCCTTCTTTGATATATCGTGTTGGGAGAACAACAGTCTCATACTCATCATAAATTCAGATTGTACAACCACAGCAGAGGCCACGCTTGCCATAACAATTTCATATACTTCATTTCCCTCTTCCCACATTTCAGCAAATTGAGTAGTGTACGTCTTCTTGGGGAAAGTTTCAATAAAGTCAAGGCAGATTCCTCTCTGAGGAAACATTGAAACCACATTCTCTATAAACCAATTTCCATCATCATAGTTCAGAGAAATCATCCCAACCCGCGTCCACCCAAAATGTAGCAATAATTGGAGAATTCTCCTGTTTTGAAGGATATTGTTGGGGAACATCCAGTGGAAAAAGTCTCCATGATTAATTGCAGGTGCAGAGCCATAGATTAGCTGAAGAAATAAAAACAACTGAAATGTGTTACTCTAATAAGTATGCAAAATTTAGCAAAAGAATTGTTGAATTATGTAAATACAAAAAAAAAATATTTTGACCAGTTGATAGAGTCAGTAAAACACATAGCATATTGACTACCAAATTTTGCTCTTTAAAATCTTTAATACCATATCCCAAAATAAGCTTTTTCTTTTCTCCCTTTTGGATTTAAAACAAGAAAAACAAAAACAGAGAAAGAAGCTCATCTTCAAAGCACAAAGAGGAGAAAAATGAAGAGTTCAAAAATACAAATAAGAAAACAATAATGGAGAGAACAGTGATTATTAAAATGACCAGAGAAGCCAGATTAACTATGGTTTTAATTAACTAAATATAGGTTATATAGGATGCACCTCAAGTTTGACTCCGTGTAATGGTCCTGGGAGAGAGGGAAGACTGGACAACCAGTGTGTAAAAGTTATCTTATCCCAAAGAAGGAGGGAGGGTGTTGGAAATATTTCAGAAGGGACCCTCCCTAGTTTTACAGAGGGTAAATG